CCAAACGCGCCCAATATCCATGCCTTCACGAAGATAACCGAGAGAACCGTGCAGCTGCAACTCACCGACTATCTGGAGTCCCACCACCTGCTCAGCGACGCTCAGCACGGCTATCGGAGGCACTACTCGTGTGAAACGGCGCTGCATGTGGTGTCTGATGACATACTTCGTGCCATGGACTGTGGCGAAATTACTCTCTGGGCTATGGTTGACTTATCCAAATGTTTTGACATGGTACCGCATGATAGGCTAATCGAAAAGTTAGAATTGTATGGCATTGATCATTTTTGGCTCTCTGACTATTTGAAAGGTCACACTCAACAGGTTCAGGTTTCTAATGGTGAAGGAACTGTCACCAGATCGACTGTGAAAGAAAACTCCGTCGGGGTGTATCAGGGAGGAATTCCATGAGCTGCATAAGTGCATACTGTGGTCAATTTTTGCTAACGATTTGCACTTACACATACCCGACACAGTGCGAATCGTTCAATTTGCCGACGGCACTCAGATCTGGACGATCGGTAAAAAGCAGGATCTACCGCTGCTAATTAGCAGGATTGAAAGTGCTCTCCACTGTATGCTTAACTGGTTTTGTGACGACGGGATGAAAGTTAACCCGCGCGGGGCTGGGGGGGGGGGGTAAATTTTACCCCCCCTCGCGAATTTTTGCGATATCTCAAAAACGGCGGCGCGCAGCGCCGCCGAACTTTCAGTATCTTTTCTTACATCAATTTGGCACCTTCCCTGAAAATTTGAGCGAAATCCGTCGGAAAATTTTTGAGAAATTGACGTTTTAGTGACGTCATGTTCGCCATTTTCGCCTCAAAAACGGCAAAAGTTCAAACGCCGCTAACATCTTCATTTTTAAAGGAATCAAGACGTAACAAAAAAGGTTATACGTAATTTTACTTTGTCTATCAAATGGCTATCTCGGTTTTTTGAACATTTTGGATTTTGGCCTAAAATTTTTCAAAAAACTGATTTTTTTGGGAAAATCATTATAAAATCCAAAATTTTGAGTCTATCGAAAAAACCGGAATATATGTCAGAGAAGTGGTCTATGCGCACCTACATACCAAAATTTAAAAGAATCGGTTCAAAAATGTGGGAGTTATTCAAAATTTTATGACGTCACGACACACAAAATTTTTGAAAAATGACTTTTTTGGAAGTTCTAGACCTCGTACGGAAACAAAAATAGCACCATTCGATTCGCCGTGAAAAACTGCATCAGATAGACACCTTTTTAGGCCTTAACAACCAACTTCAAAATTTGACCTCACTTGACCTGACCTTGACCTGACCTCGACCTGAAATTCATCCAGAGGTGGTCCATATCACTTATTGAGTGTGCCTATTGAATTCTATGAGTAAAATGACCCATAAAACATGTGTCGCACATGCCCTTTTCTATATTTTGTTTTTTGGTGACCTGACCTGACCTGACCTGACCTTGACCTTGACCTCTGAATGATATTGTATGCAACTAATATTGTCTTGGTAGCCTAAGAACATGTTTTGGGCGATCAGTCTCAGTCCATGACTCCATTCTTCGGCAACTACGATGCAAGGCCGATACTGTAGAAACTTGCAATTTGTTCCCTTGACCTGACCTTGACCTTGACCTCAAACTTTAAATTAAGTACATGTTTTTAGTAGTTCGTGATGAGAGCTTTCGATTGGCGTTTGAATTTTCCAAATCGGACCATTAGTTCGGGAGATAACAGGGGGGGTAAAATTTACCCCCCCCCCAGCCCCGCGCGTTCGGCTGGAGACCCCAGCCCCGCGCGGGTTAACGCTGAAAAAAAAAACAGAGTTCATGATTTTTGGTTCACGTCAAATGCTCAGAGATGTCCCCTGCGATATCAAAGTAAATTTCGTTGGCTCCACCGTTACCTGCTCAAACCAGGCGCGAAATTTGGGTGTGATTTTTGACAGGAACATGACCTACCAGCCCCATGTAGACCAGCTCGTTCCGAAGTGCACCGGTATATTGATTGCCTTGAACCAAGCGAAGCATGTTATACCCACTGGCACCCTGAGAACACTGATCACTGCGCTTGTCTTTTCGATCGTCCGGTATTGCATATCTGTATACGGTAGCTGCAACAAATCCCAGATTCATAGAGTTCAGAAGTTGGTCAACTTTGCTGCCCGTGTATTGAGTGGACGGCGTAAACACCAGCACGTCTCAGATGTCATCAACGATGTTGGCTGACTAACCGCGCGCGAGTTGTACCTGTACCACCGCATCATCGCTGTGCACCGACTCGTGACGCTACAGTTGCCCGCGCCGCTGGTTCGTACCATCGTCGGCCGGCCCGCCGCGCCGGTGGGGCCCTCAGACTCACCAGTGTGGGACCCTCAAAAGTCACCAGTGGGTGGCCTTCAGATGCACAGGTGTTGGTTGGGTCCTCAGAGCTGCCGATACAGGGCTTAATTAATTTTAATAGGCACTGGTGTAGGCACTCAGAGTTGGGGGTGTGAAACCCTCAGAGACACCGGTGTGGGCCCTCATAGGCGCCGATGAGGGCCCCATAGTTGCCATTATGGGGCCCTCAGAAAAATAAGTGTGGGACCATCACAGGCGGGAAATGCCCCTAGAACTCGCCCCTCATAGGCCGGTAAGGACTCTCGTAGGCCAGTAACGGGCCTTTGGTGACCACCGAGGTGCCCTGAAAAGGCGCAAGAGGCGCTTAGAAGCCGGCGTGGGGCCCTTATGGAGATTTTAGTGTGGCTATTTAGGGCCCATGAGGTGCTCTAACGAGCCCCATGGGGCGGTCAGCGGTTTGACATTCAGCGGTCAAATGGCGCCGCAGGGCCCCTCGGACCGGTCCCTTTGAACCCGATGGAGGGGGGGGGGGGTACGTGTCCCCTTAGACCCCTAGCTACGCCACTGTTTCATATGCATCATGTCAGGTATTTTAGGCTCACCCCCCCCCCCCCAACTTGAAAATCGTTCCCGGGCCCCTGTCGATTCGATATCGAACAACAAACTTAAATGAAGGCATCGGATCGGGATATAAAAAACCTGGTCATGGACATTGGACATGGTCACAGGCAGAGCACGTACACATTAACCTTGAGTTCGATATCTGGAAAATCATGGATAATTATCCGGCATCACCAACAATTATTTGGTATTGCAGGGACCATCGATGCAATGTCATATTTTTAGATTTGCTCTTGCTTCAGTAATGACTCTTTTATTCGTTGTCATGTCCGTTTTGCACGGTGTCACCCTAAAACACCGAATGAGCTTGGTAATCCCGGAAAATTATTCCTGATTATCAGGCAGTAGAGACGGAACAACTTCAATTTAGGGGGGGGGGGCATTGCCGACTTTTGGTCCCATTCTTTCCATGCAACGCCCATAGGGCTTATATTAAAATGCCCAAATCAAAGGGGGGCATGGTGCCCCGGTGCCCTCCCGCTCCCCGTTCCGCCGCCTTTGTTATTGATGCCGAATGCACGCTTTGGGTGCGTTAATTTCGGAGGCGGCTACTCTCAGCGTTGGTGTCTGAGCACTACTACTTTGATTCGCTGCCGTGTCAGTAGATGTCACCAGGGTAGAGCGTTTTTTTATTATTAGGTACCTTCCTTCTCCCCCACCTTATTTTATGATCCTTACCTTACGATAACGATGTTTGTTCACTGCCTTAAGTGCCATAACCGCTAGAAGGGGAGGGTGGGGGGGTCGTACGGCCGTCCGCGTTATGAAAAAGGCCCTGGCCTGGCGAGGGTTATTTTCTTATATACAGGGTGCGCAAAAAGTTCTGGCAGATTTATGTGTTTCCACAAACGCATGTAATCGCAGCGAATATTGTCAACACTAGCACCAAATACCTACTGGTTTGCAACATTAAACCGAATACTTTCATTTCCCTCATCATCTCATGCTCGACATAACCCTCCTCAGAGGCGATGACCTTCTGCAAACGGAGGCGGAAAGACTCGCATGTCTTGATGGATGATGTTGGCGGGGTCCTTTGTCTCCCACGTCTTCACGATATGCGCCTTCAGGGCCTCCAGATTGGGATAAGACACTCCCTAGCCTGGTCTTGTGGACGCAATACGCTCTAGATGCTTTAGTCGACGGGGTTCAGGTTGGGTGACTGAGGGGATAATACCGGGTGTCCACGTCAAAAGTGTACCCAGACTTGTCTCCATATTTTATCTTAAAAACATCACACTCATGAACAATTGCCCTTGTTTGAGAGCCAAGGCAATGGCAAAACATTTGCTATGCTTTTCAACTGTGCTCGGCACTCTGCTGACCAGCGCGTGCCGTCTAGAGCAACTGCTCTATATGAGCCCCTTTGCGTCGGGCCACCGCCGGCAGACGGACCGTCTGGAGGTGGGTGATCGCCTGGTCAACCATGTGGGAAGGAAGGCGACGGATCTCGTCGCTGATGGCGTCTTTCAGCTCCTGGGTCGACCCTGGATTGCCGGCGTATACACAGTCCTTGAGAAAGCCCCGCAAGAAGAAGTCTATAGAGGGCCGAGGTCGGGCGAGTGGGGAGCCCATTCCACCACGCTTTTCAAGCTGATGTGGCGGTCAGGAAAGTGCTCCTCCAGGAATTCCAGCGACCGTTTGGCGGTGTGAGGCGGCGCCCCGTCCTGTTGAATTCATTCTTGATGGCGACGGATCCCGCGTCTCCGCTTCAGCTCTCGCCAGAATGGTTCCAGTGCCGCCGAGACGTAACGTTCTAGCGTTACGGTGTTGTTTGTCGCTCCCCTGTCGTCTTCGAAAAAAGAAGGGGCCGATAATGCCCCCTCCATGCCTCATTGCCACCCAAACCATTACTTTCTTGCTGTGCAGAGGCATGGTCCGAACTTTTTTTAGGCGGTGGGATCCCCAGTGCACGGGGCATTGTGGGATTTCACATGCCACGGTCCGTCTGCCGGCGGTGGCCCGAAGCAAAGGGGCTCATATAGAGCAGTTGCTCTACATAGACGGCACGCGCTGGTCAGCAGAGTGCCGAGCACCCTGTATCTCCTTAAAACGCCTGCACAGCCGTTATGTTGAGGCCCCTCTTCGTCATAGCCTCGGCGAGGAAGGCGTCTCGCCGCCCGAAGCCGGTGGGTGCCAGCACGTCGCCCTGCGCCAGGTAGGCCGACATGTAGCCGTAGGTGCCGTGCGTTACCACAGTGTGGTTACACTGGGCCAGCAGCGCCATGTCGCGGCCGGCCGAGCCGTCACCGCTGGAGCCGGCGATCACAATGTCGGGCCCTCGCAGCCGCTGCCGCACCCAGGACAGGTTGTCGCTGCAGACGACGAAGACGGGCCGTCGGTAGCGTCTGCGGCAGAGCTGCAGTGCCCGCATCAGGTAAGCCTCACCCACCAGCGTGCCGTCGTACATGAGCTGCACCTGTTTGGCGTAGTCGGTGCGCCGCACGTGGACACCGATGAACGTGCAGCCGGGCGGGCGGCGACACTGGAAGTCCGTGTGCAGCCGGAGCCGGCGCTGCGCCTCGTCCCGGACCTCCGGACGGAGACGCAGCTGCTCCAGCAGCTCCGTACGGTGCTGATCAAAGTGCATCATGTCGCACGGGCTGTTGAGCAGCAGCAGGGGGCGATGCGGTGGTCCGCCACCGGTCTTCACGTACTGGAAGTAGGACACCTGCCAGAATGCCGCGCTGCTCCAGGGGTGCAGGATCGGGTCGTACCACGGCACCTGATGCCGTTCCAGGCAGCGTGCGGGCAGCGTGGGCAGCTGCAGGCCGGCGAATAGCGACCCGAGCGAACGCTCCATCTCGGGGAGGATCCAGGCGGGTCGGGCAGCTGCCGAGTCACGCTGTAGCGCCCACAGCGAGCAGTACTGGCACAGTTTGTTTCCCAGCCGACCACCGGCGTTGATGGTGACAAAACGACCCTGGGGACAGCCGGGCTCTGGCGGGCGGCTGGGGTCCAGCGCTGTGGACGTCCACAAGACCAGGCAGACTCCCACCATGGTCAGGCAGACCACGGTGTAGCGAATATGTCGCCAAGTAGACCACATGACAGCGGCACCATTTACGTTCATAGCTGTCCTATTATGTCTTATCTAGCATACCTGGGGAAGACGAAACCAGACACTGCGAATGTAACACTGGCCACCACTCTTGTCACTGCTCACTACCCACTATCACTTTTCAGTCCCAGTCCCAGTTCAGTCCCAGCGCTGCGCGCGTGCGGAAGCGCAGGCGGCTCTCCTCACCCCACTCCCCGCACCTGAGTGACTGTGCAATTGAAAGTTAGCCAGCAGCGGCAGTGTGACGGAGTGATAGTGCCGATTGCAAGTGGACTTTGATACCGATACCACGACAAGTACTGCCTATCCGACCAGCTGTCGACACTGTCCGACTCACCTTAACGCTCGCCCTGGCAGGGCATTTTTCATAACACGGCCTGGCAGGGGGGGGGGGTCGATGCGACCCCCCTCGCGATTGGCTCCTACACTGTAAAAAAAAGTTTAGCACCATAGAGGTACTTTTCAATTGACTAATTTTCAGTACCCTAGCGGTGCTAAGCTAAGCATTTTATTCGTACTTAACTGAGATCTAGTTTAGTATCAAGGTGCTAATATAAGTACCCATATTTGTTTAGCACCCGTGTACTAAATGTAGTACCCTACACCTGCTAGACCAATTTTCAGTACCCTAGCGGTGCTAAACTTTAAAAGGTGCTAAGAATAGCATGCAGTTAGTACCTTCCGTACTCACATATGAACCGTTTTAGCGCTATTGTTACCCCACGACAAGTAGAATAATGCTAACGAAAGCATTGGGGCTGAAAGTAGAATATCTATACTAGTTAAAGCTGCTGCACATGAAAAGTTCGCAAAAACTGCTTTCTTTAGCAGCACATACTTTCACTAGTTACTGCAAAAAGGACTAATCAATTACCAAAAAGGAAATTGTGTAAGGCCGAAAAAACGTGCAAAAAAGGTTATATCCTAGATAAGTGATAACTACAAGTCTCAATGATTGTGTTTTGCATTCTGCAATATTCCCGTGTAAGTGCATCTTTCAATCATCCAACACATTATAAAATTAAAAAATAATAATGGAACATTTATTAACACTTCATATCATCTGCATGAAAAACAAATGTAAATATATACACAAACAAACGCACGGGAAATAACGAAAGGTCGCTCATATACCTGCACACTCGCAGTGACCGACGATTAACGCGAGATCGACTGGGGGAGGCGGGGGGGGGGGGGGGGGCGTTGAACCAACGTTCCGTTCATGGCCATAAGTTCGACCTCATCCACGACCAGACGGCGTTTAGTGATAGACGGAACCGGAGACCCCGTGTTGTTGTCGTAGTTGTCCTCCATTGTAAGTGGTAGTCGACGGAAGAACTGACCAGGCCCCATGCCTGGAGCAAAAAAAAACTGGATCAGTTCCAAGATTTTTTTTTTCTGTTGGGAGCTATTTTCGCAAACAACACAACTTTCCTTCAGACCAAGAAGCGCGATTTGCCAAAGTCGGAAGATGAAGCACTTAAACAATATAAGATAATGTCAAAAGATACAACGTGTCAGACTCACCAAAGTCGATCAACGTCGGTGTCGGTGGCATGTGTCGGTGGCAAATGCTCATGTACCACCCGGCCCCGGAGAACTTCACTTCACTTCACTGCACTGCTGCACTGCACTTCCCTCCACCTCACTGCCTCCCGGAGCAGGGGCACGCACTCCCATGCCACGCACGACGGATTCCACCGATAATAGCTGATTTAAGCTATCATTCCAGAGCTATCACTCGGTGGCATGTGCCCGGAGCACTTCACTTCACTTCATTTCACTTCATATACCGGAGCACGTGCACACACTCCCACCACGACCAACGGACTCCACTAAAATGGCGCAACACGTGGCCGGAAACAGCTGGCACGCGCATGCGCATATCGCTCTGCGCCGTCAAAACGTGCTAAAGGGCTGGTGATAAGACTCCCAGAGATTTGTAAAGCAGGGCTTAGCTACTTTCTTTAGCGCCAATTTCAAATTTGTTTCCTCTGTAAGCATGTCCGGTTCTATTGTGATACTAACGTAAGCACCATATTCAGCATTACCAACTTCTAAAACACTTAAAATGGTTCTAATTAGAAATCCAGCTTGAAAGAGCACTCACTGATGGACTGGGTACTAGCAGAAGTAGACGTTAAGCTCAGTAGAAGAATAGGTGATCTAAACTTATAATATTTGATGGGAATGTTAGCTATCATTAGCACAGTATTAGCACCATGCTTCTTTGTAAATACGTCGTAGGGTTCTTTTGACGCTAAAAGGTGCTACGAATAGCAGCCGTTAGTACCCCAAATGCTAAACTTTTTTTACAGTGTATGGCACCTAGAAACACCAAATTTGGTAAGTAGGTGGGTCCCCTTGAGTTCTCGCCCCTGTGCAAATGTGGTTGCTCTAGGTCAATATTTAGGGTTTTTTTTGGGGTATAAAAGTAAAATTTCGCTAAGAACAGGTCAAAAGGTTTTCGCTTATAACTTTTGATCTAATTAAGATAGAACAAAAAGAAAAGCACCAGTGAACTCAGCACGTCAAGGCGCGTCGAATGATATACTTTTTAGCTGGCTTAACCCGGCAGTTGCTGGGGTATTTCGCCACCCGCCATTTGCTGGGGGGGGGGGCGTTAAACGCCCCCAGCCGATAACTCGAGAACCAATAGACGCAGCGAAACGCGCGACCCGGCAAACGAAAGAACGCAATGAGGCGCTTCTGATGATTACCTTAAAATTTGTTTTCAAGGTCACGGGTCAGGTCAGGGTCAGGTCAAATGCACAAAAAAAGGTTTTTACTAATATCGGCTTAGAAACGTGATGTTGCATAGCTCGTTTGGCAAAACATGCCAGGATTGTTCGAAAGGTATCGTATTGTTACCGTGTGAGTGTCAGGCTCACACAAACAGAGGTCAAGGTCAATTTCAGGTCACGAATTTGAGGTCACTTTGGTTTAGATAACAAATTACGCCTAAGCCGTATGACACATGTTCTATGGGTAATTTTCGACGTAGAATACGATGGTGATGAGCATCTTCTTATGTGAGGCTTCTTTTTTTGTGCCAGGCAACAGCAAGATTGATAAAATATGCAAATTTTCATTCAGCGTCGATCGAAGCGGACAAAAAAAAAACATGCTGCTTTCCAATAGTCCCAGAAAATCAACACTGGCAGTCTTACAGGGCAGTCAAAAGAGTATCAAAACTCCGTGACTTTAGATACTCAGATTTTTCGCTTCTTTATGTATTGCATAACAGGAATTCACGTAAAATGAAACGCGATTTTCATGACTAACTTGATCTTCGTGACACAAAACAGTTTTGCGTCCTAGCACACACACACAGCGACACATTGCACAATAGCGATGATTTGGTTATACACCAAGTAACACAGCGCGAAAATAGTGACACGCACTATTTGCACAGTACGACCCAATTCCACATTTCTCAAGCCATTTGTATAGGTTGAGGTCATACGCATCACACCATCTACTCATTGACACAGCTGGTGCACACCATTTTGCTGTGCGTTCCGCACACATAGTTTCCACACATTTCACATGGCGGCTTCTTGGTGAGCCTGTTCTTCTTCTCCCGGAATCCTGCAGAGCCGATCAGCTCTCCTAGGCACTTGACACAGCGGCCCCTCGACGTTCGCGCTGGCCTGGTGTGTGTCTGGCGAGGGGCTGGAGCGCCCGTGACACAGGCCATCGCTGACAGTGTGCCGCTGTTCAGGCCAACAGGATTGGCCGTTCGCTCCTGTAGTCTTGGTTTAGCCAGACTCTGACCTAGGTCGAATATCATTCTTCGACGCACGCCGTTGCTCACCTCCGCCGCACCCTGGCCTCGGTTCATCAGCAGGATGGTGGTGCTGTTGACCTGGGCCACGCTCAGCATGAAGAAGAACACTGCCGTTGGCCAGCGACGGAGTGGCGGCTTCCCCATGTATCTCTCGATCATTGAGTCGATCACATCGACTCCGCCCTTGGTCGCGTTGTAATATACGCCCGGTTATATATGACAAGATATAACCGGTTTTTCCGCGACACTACGAGCGTCTTCTCTGGGGCGGCCCCGGAGCCGGGCCGGCCTCGGCGAGCAGCGTTCGGCGGCAGGCGGGCGGCCGCCTGCGCCCCCGGGCGGCAAGGCCGCTAAGGCGGCGGCCTCCTCTGATTGGTGGAGCGACTCGTGTCACGTGACGGTGACGGCGCGGGGTTTGAGTGCATTTGCGCGGTCACTCTGTTCTAAGCCGCCCGGTCTGACGCAAGTCAGCAGTGTTCTCGCTCTGAAATGTTTTTGCGTTTACTGCGGTCGTGTTCAGTGGAAACTGGAAGACATCAAGGGGAGTATAAGTTCGGTTTTATATCGTTGTTATATTGATTGACGAGGATGTTTTTCCTTTCGGGTTTTTTATGTTTATTTTTACTGGTTTGTTGTTTGTTAGTTGTTTGTTTTTATTTTCGGCATGAGGTTTGGTTATTTTTGTGCTTATGTTGTGCTATCGAGGTAAGAAAGGGGTCGATGAGCAATGGGTCGGCAAATGCCTGGTATTATAGGTTCTTTGAAGGTTGGATAAAAGAATGAAACATGGACTGCTAATTTGCTTGGTGGTGTTTTTCAGATTTTGGGAGATTGGGTGTAGGTTCTTGCTATGTGTAACATAGCTGAAACTGTTTTTTTTTCTTCTTCCCTGGAACGGAACGCCGGACTTTACCATCCTACACTCAGTGTGAGTGAAATCAGCTCATGCTTCTCGGTGTAGCAGCTCAGAGTGCACGGCCTGGCCGGCGTGGGGTTTTTGGTGGCCACGTGGTGTTGGCCGGTGGTTGGAGTTGGCAGAATTGCCGTTTTGTGGTGCCTGGTGTTGGTTGAACTGTGGTTCCCATACAGGTGAACGGTTACTGGCGTAAGGTGTGCCAGGTGGGTGTACCCCGTGGAGGTACGCCCAGGTGGGCCAGGTGGGCCTGGCCGGCGTAGGGTTTGGTGGCCACGTGGTGTTGGCCGGTGGTTGTGCAGAGAGTTGGTAGAATTGCCGTTTGGTGGTGCCTGGTTTGGTTGAACTGTGGTTCCCATACAGGTGAACGGTTACTGGCGTAAGGTGTGCCAGGTGGGCGTACCCCGTGGAGAATGAGCTGCTGGTGATGTTGGCTCTGTCCGAGCGTGTCCGAGCGGGGTTTTCATTAGTGGGTTAGGGATTGTTGATAAGGGTACCAACTACCAGGTGAGACTTGAGAGGGTAAATGGAGTTCATGCTAATGATACCCAATGCAATGGTATTGGTCTAAAATGGTATTGTTACCTGGTTAGGTTGGAGTGAAAGGTTAAGTGGGTGATATAGGTACGGAGGTGCAGAGGTGATAGTGGAAACCACTTGTGTGGTAAGTCTCGGGAGTCGGGACTAGGATATTTTAGATTAGATGGGAAATTATGTTAGGTAGTTTGGATGCACTGGCGATAATATAGTAAGTTACAGGATAGTACCCAAAGGAAGTTTTCACCCTCATATTTAAAGACTGCATTAGGTATGCCATTTTCTATAACGATGCAGTTTTATGGTAGCCCGTGATTGTTTTGCTCTCACTCTACATTGAGGTGCGAGTTAACTGTTTTCAGTTTTTTTTTTATGGTAGTGGCGTTTGTGAATCGTTTTTTTTTTTGCCAGAGTAAGGTGCCTTTTTGTCGTGGTCAATAAATAGAGCATTGCCTAGGCATGCATAAGCGACATCAATCATCATGGTAATGTTGGTATGCAATATGCATATCCTGCCGATGTGTCATCGCGCGCATTGTCAGATAAATGGCTCCAGTATGTATAATCCCTCCCGATACCCTCCTTTGATACGAGCTTTCGGCTAAAAATGGTTATGTGACACAATCCGTTTTTTTCTTCCATGGCTTGGTGGGTGGTTGGCATCCGACTCTGAACGGCGACGGATCGGCACACTCGGCGGGGCCGGCCCGCTGGGCCAGAGTCTTCTTTGGCCGCTGGAGGATTTCTTCACAGCTCCCGCGTCAGCTGAGGGAGTTCCGACCCCTCCCAGCTCATCTAGCTCCAGTGGTGCTGCCCGTGCTGCCTAGCAGGTCTTACGGGACATCGTCAGGTATAGGCCAAGGTGGCCGGGGTTTTGAAAGGTACGTTGTTCCATGTATGCCGGGCCCGGTACATATCTGTTAATGGAGGTTCTAGGGGGACCCGATAGGGTAGATAGTGAACGCTTGGGCATGGGCGATATCGGCATTTTTGTGGGGATATTTGGTTCCACCAATAGGAACATGAGGGGCAATGCTGGTGGAAAGTAAGATAGTAATAAAATTCTGATAAAATCGTTACGAGGCCTGAAGGTATTAAAAAAAAAAAATGAAATCTAGTCAACTCTAAGTTCAACGTGTTTTCAACCTTGGTTTGCTGCTGCTGCTGAGGCTTGTTAAATCGTCTATAACTATATTCAAAGCAGTCTGTTTCTTTGATTTTTTTTTTCTACTTGTCGCTATAGGATATGGGATGACCTTTCTCCTGCAATCAGCAAATGAACAATACAGGTCAGGTGCTATCAATAATAGGTAAAAAGGATTTAGTCAGTATACGTTGTTAGGACTGGGGTACCCCTCGGTGTCCCTAAATTGTATTTTGGCTGGGGTGTCTGAGGAAAATTCCTGGGGGCCCGGGAACGATTTTCAAGTTGGGGGGGGGGGGGGGGGGGAGGCGAGCCTAAAATACCTGACTTGATGCATATGAAACAGTGGCGTAGCTAGGGGTCTAAGGGAACACGCACTCCCCCCCCCCCCAATCGGGTTCACAGGGACCCTCGGGTCCGGGGGGCCCTGCGGCACCATTTGATCTGAGGCTTAACGATGGCCATATTTCGACTCGGGAGGGCCCCATTCGGCTCGTTAGAGCACCGCATGGGCCCTAAATTGCCACACTAAGATCTCCTTAAGGCCCCACTCCGGCCTCTGAGTCATGGTCCCACAATTATTTTTCTGAGGGCCCAATAACGGCAACTGTGGGGGCCCTCATCGGCGCTTATGAGGACCCACACCGGTGTCTCTGAGGGTTTCACGCCTCCAACTCTGAGTGCCTACACCAGTGCCTATTAAAGCCCTATATCGGCGGCTCTGAGAGTGAGGACTCGAATCCCTACCAAACACCTGCGCAGTGCGCATCTAGGGACCACCCACTAGTGACTTCTGAGGGCCCCACACCGGTGACAGGGGCCTCTTGCCGGTCACTGAGAACCCCCTGCCGGCTTGTAGAGGGTTCGCGTCAGCAGCTCAGGTCCCACACCAGTCTGTAACTGCTCCACACCAGCGTCTATGAGGGCCCACAGCAACGCCTGTAGGACCCTCACCGGCGCCTCTGAGAGAGTCACACTGGTGCCTCTCAGCGCCCGCACCGGCACCTGCATGACAGTCCCACACCGGTGCCTCTACGGGCCCCTTACCGGCGGCTCTAAGGGCCCTACGCCGGTGATTCTGAGGATGCTACCGATAACCGGAGGCGCCATACAGGCCCAAGGTGTCGCTGAGCTTTAATCCCTACCGGCCTTCCGTGGGCGCCACGTCAGTGCACTCATTGCCCCACACCCCTCCCTCACACCCGGAGCGGGTAAACTGTGTTATACCTATAGCAACGATTTTACCACCGTTGTACGTTATGTATTTCTCAGGGTTGGCTCAAAATGGTCCAGTATATGTATGTAAAAGCTGACCTGCCAAACTACCAATCAATCAGGCCCAAACCAGTGGGATGACAATAGCAGATATCAAATCGATACTGTATCGGCAGAAACCATTCAGATGGCAAGGAAAGGCCGTGTCCTGATAAGATATATAAAGGAAACAAGAAGGAAAGAAGTCCGGAAAAGGGAGGAAAGGTCCTTTCTCTCTGCCTCAATGTTGAGGGGGCGACGCCCCCACGGCTCAAGTTGGGGGGGGGGGGGGGGGGGGGCAAGCACCCCCGCTGCCCCCCCCTGTTCCCGGGTCTATGAAAATTTCTCACCAAAAAGGAATAGTGTGGGGTGGAAAATTGATGGTCAAATAAGGCCTAAAAAGAGTGAAAAAGGATGCGCGGCAAAATTTCATAAAAGGCTGGTATAATGTGGGAAGTAAAATGGCTATCCATCCATGCGAACGCTTTTTCTGGGTAAAAATGGGAGTGGAAAATGGGCTATTAAAAATTGGAGGCGAGTGAACAGTGATTTTCATTTGGGTGACGTTTCCCATGCCTTAATCAACAAATTTTTGGGCACTGGTACCCCTCGCCAGCATCAGGGTTGACGTCACTCACTCAGTACTGACTGAGTGTTGAGCTGTCCAGATGGTCGCAGCTCGGTTGTGGCCGCCTTGGCCGTGTTTTTTTGGCGATCTAGTGCAACCGTCGCAGAGCAAAGGGAGTATGAAATTCAGTTTTTTTTTGTGGGTTCTTTCGCTAAGAAGTATTTTTCAATAATTAATGTGTGTTCTGTATGCAATATTGCTTTTGCAAGGACGTTGATTGTTTTTTATACTTTGATGGCTGATAAAGTTCGTATGCAATTTGTTAATAATGGAGGGGTTGGTGGGATGCCTAACTGGTCCGGGTGTATGGTTAGTAAGAGGTGGAAAGTGGGCTAGTTGCGGAGTTATTTGGAGTGGTTTATGGCTGGGTATGGTTTATTTCCAGTTAAAATATTAATTTGTTCTGGGAGGGGTAGGTTAAAAAAAAAAAACTCATCGGTTACAACTCATCATTTACAAACTAGGGGTCTTATTGTTTTCTTCTCTTAGATCGCTGGACTTAGCCGTTCCACACTCTGTATGGGTGAATTCAGCTCATTTTTTCACGGGATAGCGGCTCCAAGTGCAGAACCTGGCCGGGTTACGTGTTGGGTGGCCACTGATGTGGGCCAGTGCGGTTCACCAATGATGTGGTGATGGTGTTGTGAGCGGTGGTTGAATTTGTAGAG